GAGTATAAATTATGTACGGCCCAAAAAAAAGTCCGCTAGGTTGAAAATCTTGAAAGAGGCGGCCTAGGTAAAAGTTAGGACGTAAAAAAAAAATCTACCCAGTCTGAACTACGGTATGACTTGATCATCTTCACCAAGGTACGTAGGCAGCTTAGAGTTTCATTCTAAGTTTAGTCGCATAAGTTCAAAAGATACATATTTCCCCAATTGTTGTTCGAATGAAGTATGAAGGAATGTAAGATCAAGCTGAAATGTCATCCTCCTACTGAACTTTAAACTCATTTGATTTAAAGGGGGCAACCCTCCATGGTAAATTGATATCTTCGATGGGCCGATTTTAGGAGGATGTCAAGTATTTGCATTTAAGTCCAGGGGTTCTCTATGTCTTCAAGTTCGCCAAACCTTCAAGTTTGTTGGTCTCCAAGTCTACCCCTGCCTTAAAAAAAGGGAAAGAGAAGAGAGACATCAAAAGGAAACACAAGTATAAGGAAAAGATTGCTTGGCACAACACTTAAAATTCAATGAGACTTGAACTCAAGATATTTGTGAGAATATGTCTCTTACATTTCGATTGATGGCAAGTAAGACATCTTCCGATCTCGAGGCTTCCATACCAAGATATGAGTTTTTGTGAGACTGCGCAAATCTAGAATTGATGGCGTGGTGCAATGTAAAGTTGATTTCAAAATATTATCTGGGACGATTCCGAAGTTGTTTGATTGAGAATTTTGGATATATTCTAGATCTTGAAGTCTAGTTTTCTTGAAATCAAACGGTTTGCAATTTCGATATTTCTACACCGAGATATGAATTTGGTGAGACTGCGCAAATCTGGAATTGATAGCGTGGTGCAATATAAAGTTGATTTCAAAATATTATCTGGGACGATTCTGAAGTTGTTTGATTGAGAATTTTGGATATGTTCTAGATATTGAAGTCTAGTTTTCTTAAAATCAAACGATTTGCAATTTCAATATTACTACACTGAGATATGAATTTTTTGGTGAGACTTCGCAAATCTGAAATTTTCAACATGGTGAAATCGAAAGTTGGTTTCAAAATATTATCCGACGCTATTCTGAAGGTTTTGATTTTGAGTATCGGATATATTTTAGATATTGAAGTCATCAAACGGTTCATTATTTGGACTCCCCCACGACAAGATATGAATCATTTGTTACAAGCACGTAAAGCTGAAAATTATGCAATTAAGATAAAAGTCAAACGATGTAAAGCAAAAGAGAAGCTGAAATATTTAAGCCCTCGAAGTCTCCAAGTTGAAGTCTTCAAGTGTATTCAAGTTGAAGTCCCCAAGTTGAAATCTTCAACCCCGTCGGTCTTCAAGTTGAAGTCTTCAAATCCGCTGATCTTCAAGTTGAAATATTTAGGCCCTCCAAGTCTCAAAGTTGAAGTCTTCAAGTCCGTCGGTCTTCAAGTTGAAGTCTTCAAATTCGCCGATCTTCAAGTTGAAATATTTAGGCCCTCCAACTCTCAAAGTTGAAGTCTTCAAGTTCGTCGGTCTTCAAGTTTCAGTCTTCAAATTCGTCAGTCTTAAAGTTGAATTGTTTAAGCCTTCCGAATCTTCGAGTCGAAGTCTGCAAAGTCCGCCAAATCTTTAAAGTTTTCCAAGTGTTCAAGTCGAGGTCGTCTTCGAGTTGAAGCTTTATCACTTTCCAATCTTAAGGTGGACATATAAGTCCCTTTGTATCTTAAGTTGGCCTTGCCGATAGTCGGGCCATTTTGAGAGTAATCTCTCCGATAGTCAGGCCACATTGAGAGTAATCTCTCCGATAGTCGGGCCGTTTTGAGAGTAATCTCTCTGATAGTCATGTCACATTCTGTGGATATATCAGTCCTTTTGCACCTTAAGTGGGCCTCTTCGCGGGTTTGTCCTTAAAAGGAACTATAACTTCCAATCTTAAGGTGGACATATGAGTCCCTTTGCACCTTAAGTTGGCCTCGCTGATAGTCGAGCCACATTCAGAGTAATCTCTCTGATAGTCGGGTAAGGATGAGTACTCATTCCTTCACACCTCAAGATTGTCTTCTTCATGCGTGGATCATCTTGTTGAACGAGAACATATCTTTGTCACTTGACTTACAAAAAAAAAAAGATAACAAAACAAGAAAAGCACAAAAAAAAAAAAATAATTACCTTCGTATTAATGCTTCCGAGTCCACAAAACTAGACTCGAGTTGCTTGCAAATACTGCAAATTGATGCTCAACAAATACGAGCACAGGGGTTTATATAGATCTCAGAGGGACTGCTGAAGCGTGGATTGCCGATGTGGGATCGGGTGTGTACTCCAAATAGAAGTCGAATTGTAAGGCTTCGAACACTGTGTACTCCAAATAGAAGTCGAATTGTAAGGCTTCGAACACTGTCTACTCCAAATAAAACTCGGATTGTAAGATACTTGGACCTTAGCGGCTATATTCTCGGACCTTAGCGGCTATTTTAGAAGTTAAAAGATGAAAACTTAGAGAAATTAATGCACCAAGAGCAGTCGACAAAGGAAATAACATAAACTGTCTTACGTAGAGGATAATGACTATATCATGATGTTCAAGTGGAGCATCAATCACGTTGGGGTTTGAGACAAAGTAAAACAAATTGCCAACCGAAGGCACTATGAATATGAAGGCTAAATGGATACAGTAGGGATCAATTCAATTTATTCCATTCTAATCATTATTGTTGGATTATTTCCTAATGGAAGAAAATGAAGGTCCTAACAATGTTGGATTCAAGTTCCAAGGTTCATATGCCTATGTTTATTCCTATACGTATATAAAGTGGGGGGACAATTTTTATTTGATCTGGACACCAACTTCGATACTCTGCTAATACTTCAAGCCTAGTCTTTTAAGATAGACGTATTTATACTTGGACAAGTCTTGAAGTAGGGGACATTTGTAGACATGTAAAAATTTATTGAATTCAAATTCAATAAATAATTTGGATTATATTTTAAATATATTAGTCCGAATAAATATTTTGGGCTAATATAATTGGATTAATTGTATAAGTCCAATATTATTGGGCTAGCCCATTTAATTGGGCTAAAGTGATGAGCTCACTTCACTAAGCCCAAGATGACATCTTCCTAGAGGCCCAGTTTGGTGCCATGTGTCAAATGACGTGGCGCGCCTAGTCAAACGGAAGAGCCAATAGGATTGTACCACATGTCAAAATGACAAGGCATGCCAAGTCACACTAAAAGGCCAATGAAATCGTGCCACGTGTGCAAGTGACATGTTCTGGCCAATCAAATGCGGTCATGTCATACTTCAATTTGATTGGCCGGAAAGAGTTTGTTCTTATCATAACTCTTCCCTCCCACAACTATAAATAAGGGTCTTCATAACTCAGAAAAGACACCACAAGTTATAACAAGAAGCAAGAAAGAGCTCGTGGATCAAACGCTACAAATTCCTCCACAAGTTTCAAGCTTTAAGTTCAATTTCAAGAAATCAAGTTCAAGCTCAAGAACGAAGAACAAATCAAGTTCAAGTCCAAGCAATCAAGCTCAAGCTCAAGAACAAGATCATCGTTCGTGGCAACAAACATAGATTCAAGATCAAGCTCAAAGGCCCTTGAATTTATTTACCATTGAAAAGAAGAATCAGAGGATTCATAGAGATTGTAACACTCAAATATTCGAAATAAAATATTACGATTGTTGCGATATTTTTCGATCTTGATTTTATTTTCTCCACGCAAATTTATTGTCTACGATACCGAACTCTGAAAAAAGTTCCTTGAGCTTCTCATCATCGATGGTGTCATCCAAATTTTTTACATACAAGTTAAGACCTTGGTATTTATCAACCACCTCCTTGGCAGTCTGCTCAAACTTGCTTTCCAATTCTTGCTCTCTTACAGATTTCTTCTGTGCTTTCCCAACATACCACTCTTTATCATCAAATTTCTTTCCATTTAAGGATTCAACAGCCTTAGCAGCATCTTCTCCAGTTTCAAAATTGACGAAACCAAAACACTTGGACTTTCCATCTGCATCTCTCATCACTACTGCACTAGTAATGTTCCCGAACTCACTAGTATCATTTGACCCACTTCAAGGCCCTTTTTAATCTAATAATGTATCGTATCTCCATCTTTATCTGGTTTCCTCATGCCATTTATCCCTCTGGGTGTCTACCTTTTCATCTCTTGCCTCTGTAATATGTGTTGTCCTCAGATTTTTCTGCCCTTCCTCTGCTGTGGCACAGAGAATTGTGGCACGGTGAATCGTGATCATCATATACACCTTGAACCGTCTATTTTATTTATATTTGATATAGAATGAAATGCTATTGCAACTAGTTTGGATAAGTATAGGGTGTTCTATTTCTCATTCTCTAACTTTGCCTCAATCAAACTAGTTGTGGTCGGCTGTATGGATTCTCTTTATATGGCAAACTATGGTCACTATGGCAAGAGTGCAGTAGAAGATATTCTGAAGGAATATTCATGAATAGTGTGAAGCATATTTGTCTATGCATTTGGTCTCTCAGTATAAACAAAAAGATGTAAGTGACTTGAGGATGGCTTAAGAGTTTGTCCCCTTAAGCGCTTACTTTGGCTTGCATGTATGAAATACTCTTACAACAACAACACCCCAATTCTAAACTGGTCGGGGTGTTGTATAAGTATTCTTACTTACAAAAAAAATTGTTTGCTGGATTTTATTACAGGTGCTGCTTTCTTTTCCAGGAATACTAATAACTAAAATAGGTGGTATTGCGCTGCTTCTCATTTGCTTGATCAAGCTTTCTAGTATTTGGTGTCAATTTTCAAGTCTATGAAAGAGAAGCTTTGGAGCTCTTTTCAAAAATTGACAATAAAAGACAAGAGAACAAAGGGAAATCAGAACTACAGGAGATGGAGACCCCAAAAAGAAAGGGTTTCAAAGAGTTAAAGGGGCTGGAAATTGGGAGTAATTTCAGGAGTAATGGAACTAGATGTAAGGGGGGATGTATTGTCATAGGTGATCAATGAAGGTAAATATTGTATCATGGAATGTTAGGGGGTTAAATCGTCGAAGGAAGAGAGTTCTGATAAGAAGTATGATGAACAACTGGAAAGCAGATGTTTTTTGCTTTCAAGAATCCAAGTTAGAAGTGGATATCAGGGAGATTGTAAAAGAGTTATGGGCCAATAGGTGGGAGAATTTTGTACAATTAGAAGCTAGTGGGACTAGAGGGGGTATAGTTGTTCTGTGGGATAAAAGAGTATGGGATGGGGAAATTAGTAGCTTGGGGTCTCATACTATCACATGTAAGTTTTCTGGTAGATCCCAGGAACTTATTTGGCACTTATCTAGTGTATATACACCGAATGACAGAAGAGACAGGGAATAAGTGTGGTGGGAATTGGCAGGGGCCAGGGGTTTATTTGATGGACCATGGGTGGTTTGTGGAGATTTTAATACTGTGAGATTTCCATCAGAAAAGAAAAACTGCAACAGAATTACAAGAGGGATGAAGGATTTCACTGATTTTATTGAAGATATGGAACTAGTAGATATGCAGTTAGCAGGAGGCAACTATACATGGAGAAAAAGTGACAATCACAATATAGCTGCTAGACTGGACAGATTTCTGGTATCTGTTGACTGGAATGAAGGATTTAGAAACATCAAACAATCAATACTTTATAGAGTAACCTCAGACTTCTCAGCACTGATGCTTCAATGTGGCAACTGGGATCCAGTCAAATCTTACTTTAAGGTTGAAAATTGGTGGCTGCAAACAGATGGATTCACAGATAGAGTTAGAGATTGGTGGAATTCCTTTAGTTTTGAAGGAAGTCCTGACTTTATTTTGGCCTTCAAGCTCAAAGCCTTGAAGGGAAAACTTAAAGAATGGAGCAAAACTTTACAAGGAAACCCGGAGTTGCAGAAAACAAATGTCCTTAACCAGCTTGCACAATTGGAGGAGATTCATGACCGGAGGCCTCTGAATGAAGAGGAAATTTATGCAAAAACTGCCCTAGCTATGGAGTTTGAGGACATCGCAAAGCATGAGGAGGTGGCCTAGAGGCAAAGATCCAGAGCCTTGTGGCTGAAGCAAGGGGATAAGAATACAAAAATTTTCCACCGAACCGCCAATTCACATAGGAGATATAATCATATTGAGCAGCTGGTAGTACAGGGGGAGTTGATACAGAATCCTGGTGATATCAAGAAAGAGATTGTCACCTTCTATCAAAAGTTATATTCTGAAGAAGAGGTTTGGAGACCACAAGGTAATCTTAGGAACTATCTTATCCTTACTCCAGAAGACAATCAATTACTACAAAGTCCTTTTGGTATTCAAGAAATTTGGGATAGTGTGAAGGCATGTGGAGGGGATAAAGTCCCTGGACCTGATGGATACTCAATGGCCTTCTTCATTCAATGATGGGAAGTGGTGAACGAGGAAGTAATAGCTGCAATTCAAAACCTCTATGATCAGGGTATTTTTGAAAAGAGTTTCAATGCCACCTTTGTGGCATTGATTCCAAAGAAGGGGGGAGCCAGGGAACTGAAAGACTTCAGGCCTATCAGCTTGATAGGTAGCATCTATAAAATCATCTCCAAGTTATTGATAGAGAGACTTAAGAAAGTAGTGAATAAGCTGGTGGATGCTCAACAGATGGCTTTCATTAAAGGTAGGCAAATAATGGATGCCATTTTAATTGCCAACGAATGTGTGGATGCAAGGATATTAAGCAAGAAGCCTGGCATCTTATGCAAATTGGACATTAAAAAGGCTTATGTTCATTTGAATTGGAACTTTCTGCTTGACACCATGAGGAAGTTGGGTTTTGGTGGTAGGTGGGTTCATTGGATTAAGTTTTGCATCAGCACAGTAAGATTCTCAATTCTAATTAATGGAACACCAGCTGGCTTCTTTCCTTCGCAAAGGGGCCTAAGGCAGGGTGACCCACTGTCTCCTTTTTATTCATCATTGCTATAGAAGGCTTGAATAATATGTTGAAGATGGCTCAAACAAACAATTGGATAAGGGGATTCAGGGTAAACTACATGGCAGATAGTCAATTTGAGATTTCTCATTTGCAATATGTAGATGACACTCTTGTATTCTGTGATGCTGATAAAAAACATTTGCTAATGCTAAAGATCATTTTTATTTTGTTTGAGGCCATATCTAGTTTGCATATTAACTGGAATAAAAACTTTATTTATCCGGTTAATGAGGTGACAGAGCTTCAAAATTTGGCTGAAATCCTTGGAGGAAAAATTGGGTCGTTACCTACAGTATATTTGGGGATGCCTTTGGGGGCTAAAAGCAAGTCAAAAGGGATATGGAATGGGGTCTTGGAGAAATGTAAGAAGAATCTAGCTAACTGGAAGAGCCAATACCTTTCTATGGGAGGAAGATTAATTTTGATTAATTCAGTACTTGATGTTATGCCTACATATATGATGTCTTTATTCCCAATCCAAGTGAATGTGGTGAATAGAATAGATGCCTTGAGAAGAAATTTCTTATGGGAAGGAAACAGTGATAAGAAGAAAATTTACTTGGTCAGATGGAATTCCCTTACTTGTAACAAGAAGGAAAGGTGGCTGGGAATTAAAAATTTGAAGATTCAGAATCATAGTTTATTGATTTATGGAGATTTGCTTTAGAAGAACAATCCCTATGGAAAGAGGTAGTCAAACAAAAGTATGGTATGGAAGGAAAATGTACAACCAAGCATGTGAGAAGCCCTTACGGGGTCAGTTTGTGGAAGTCTATTAGAAACTTGTGGCCTAAGCTCATTAACAAGTCAAGCTTCAGAATTGGAAAAGGTAGGAAAGTATCTTTCTGGGAGGATAATTGGCTAGGCCAGGCTTCACTGAAACAACTTTTTCCAGACATATATCTACTTAATTAACAGCAAGAAGCAACAATAGGAGATGTGTGGTCAAACCAGGATTGGAGTCTTACATTCAGGAAATTACTGTATGATTGGGAGATTGATCGGATATCAAATTTCTACAAGATCTTAGAACAATTCAAAGGGACCTCCAATGCTGAAGATGGTGTTACATGGCAAGGGAATAGCAAAGGAAAGTTCTCCGTCAAAGCAGCATATAAGGAATTCAATATTTCAAATAATAAGGTTGGTTATTGGCCATGGAAATTGATTTGGAAGGTTAAAATTCCTTATAAAGTGGCCTGCTTTACATGGTTGTTGACAAAGGAGGCAGTTCTAACCCAGGATAACTTGATCAAGAGAGGATACCCACTTTGTTCTAGATGCTACTTATGTGGAGAGGAGGCAGAGACAATCAGTCATCTTTTTTTGCACTGTAGGGTTACTTCAAACCTATGGAGGATGTTCATCAACTTGAGGGGATTTTTGTGGGTTATGCCAAGAAGAATTATTGAAGTTCTAGCTTGCTGGAACATAGAAGGAAACCTTCCCGGTCATAGAGAGATGGAAGATTGTCCCTGCTTGCATTTGGTGGACAATTTGGAAAGAAAGAAACCGAAGATGCTTTGAAGATAGATCCAGTAATGTCTAAAAGATGAAAATGAATTGTTTAGTTCTTTTTTACTTTTGGTGTAAAGGAGAATACTTAGAAAACCGTGAATCTATTTTTGATGTATTAGAATCCTTATGAGAAGAAAAAGGATTAGGAGAGCTTCTCCCACGCTTCACCTTGTAATTATGGATGACTCCACAGATTCTATGTAGTCTTATTATTTATATACAAACGTTACCTTTTCAAAAAAAAATTATTAGTAGCACGATTGGGGCCATTTGTGAACTAGATTCCTGAATCTGCAGTAGAGAGATGTAGTTTCTGCAATCTTTGTTGGACTTGGCACTAATAGGCACTAATGATGTGTAGTAAACGATCTGAAGGTGAATTTTGGCTCTGTGTAAGGTTGAACTTTGAAAACAATGACTGTGAAGGTGGAGAAGAGGACTTGCCAAGGGATGCAAAGGTTGTCAAAACATTGCTAAAATCAATGGGTGTTGGTGACTATGAACCTCGAGTTGTGCATAAGTTTTAGAACTGCAGCATCAATATGTAATTGATTTACTGACGGATGCTCAAGTCTACTCATACGTGCAGGGAAGATTGCCATTGACTCTGATGATATCAAGCTTGTCGTTCAGCTGAAAGTTAATTTCAGCTTTTCATAACTCCTACCAGATCAGGTACTAAGTCTTATTAGATCCTTCATTCTTGTGATGGTATTCATTATTCCAAGACGTAAATGCATACCTTTCTTAGGGACCTCTTAGGGGTGTGGTGAAACAGATAACCTTAGCCTTCTCTTGTCTAGGAAGGATAATTAAAATAGGCACTTACTGAATCGATGGGTTATATGATGTTAACTAAAATGATAGGTTTGGAGTAAAATATGGTTCCTTTGCAACTAGAACAAACATGTTACTTTAGGGTCATTTGGTACAATGATGGGACATGGGTGGGATATCCCATGAGATTAGTTATCCCACCTTCTATATGGGAACTAATCCCACCATTTTAGAGTAAAGGTTATTCCGGGATTAGCTAATATCCCAAACCAAATATGGAATAAAGTTCTTCCAAACTTTATCTTGGGATTATTATTCTTGTTCTATGTACCAAACGACCCCTAAGAGTGATGAGAAACCTTAATTCTGAGCTTGAAGTAGTACTATCACTTTACCCCAAATTTGCTGATCCTTTTTCCTTTTTGAATGTACAGTATGTGGTAATTTCACAGTTCAGCAGAACCAATTTCCTCTAACTTGAACATCTGTTGTGTCGCCTATGAACAAGCTAGAAGTGAAAAATAATCATAGCTGCCACTAAAATATAGCATTATTTGTGAAATGTGTACGAAAAGTTGTCAAACTTATAATTTTGACAATACCTTTGTGGAAAATTTTCAAATTTATCTTTTCGCAATACCTTTATGGAATTTTTTTACGGATTTATAATAGTTAACCCTAGAGAGTATTCCATTCAGAGAAGAGAGAAGTGAGATTATGCAATTAGTTTAACCACTATTAGTCTTTTTAAGCTTGGAAATTATGCTTCTACTTATTATCGCACTCACATGTAAAGAGTTAAAATGCAAGGTGTTCAAAACTGTTTGTGAGTGCTGTTCGTTTAATTTTGCAAATAACAGAACACAGAGGTATTTTGTATTTTATCCGCCAACAAGTAATATGGGGAAAAACAACAAGAAAAAGGAGGTGGGTTATGGTGGTTAATGCAGAATAGTTTAATTATTTGAATCACCTCAATGCAAAATTGTTAATAGAGCAGATTGGCTATAGAGGATTTTGGATGTTATGTTCTATTTCTAACTCGTAATATAGGTATTAGTTATTGGTACTTTGATCATGTGAGAATGGTACGGGAGAAAAAAAAATATATTATTGATATCACCTATCAAGTGTTTTACAATAGCTCTATTTATAACTTTTACACAATACTTATTCTACTCCTATTCCATATGGGACTAGCGTTATTTACATAACTATCTAACACTTCCCCTCAAGCCCGTGCATACAAAACATATGTAGCGAGCTTGTTACTTATGTAACTAATACGAGGACCAGTGAGAGACGTGGTGAAATATCTGCAAGCTGATTATTCGACTTCACAAACTTTGTAGCAATATCTCATGAGAGTATCTTTTCTCTGACAAAGTGACGATCAATCTCAATGTGTTTTGTTTTCTCATGGAACACCGGATTGAGCTTGACACTGGACTTCCTTTGCAGGGTAATTCTCTTAATGGCCAGCAGTTGGTCGCTCTTTGTACCGCCGACAACAAGCCACCATCCTTCTTCATTGGTTGTGGGATATCTAGGTGCAAAAACAGGTCCAACCTCTGTTCCACCCTCAAGATCTCGCTCAAGGGTTACCTGCACACTCACATTGTCTCCAGCACTCACATTATCACGGTTCAACACATCATATGTCAAATCAATGTTTGGAAACCGATTACAAAACCGGGCAACATCCATAAGCTGTAAGTCCGACATTTGCAANCTTAATGGCCAGCAGTTGGTTGCTCTTTGTATCGCCGACAACAAGCCACCATCCTTCTTCCTTGGTTGTGGGATATCTAGGTGCAAAAACAGGTCCAACCTCTGTTCCACCCTCAAGATCTCGCTCAAGGGTTACCTGCACACTCACATTGTCTCCAGCACTCACATTATCACGGTTCAACACATCATATGTCAAATCAATGTTTGGAAACCGATTACAAAACCGGGCAACATCCATAAGCTGTAAGTCCGACATTTGCAAGAGCTCACGCCTCTCGTCATCTTCCATCTCCACTAAATCCAACACTGTCTCTGTACTCTTTCCTGGATTTTCTTGGCACTTCTTAGCCAATTCATTTGTAAAATGTGGAACCTGAA